ACCGCTGGTATGGGAGAAATAATCAAACATTTACAAATTCAGGAATTTTGTTGCAGCTATCGCAGAACTGTATGTGGTTCCGATCATTCTAGAATATCCTGTGTGCATAGGCATTCTTGAACCATCCCAACTACGGCCACTGGCGCCGCTATGTGGGTGGTTGTCTCGCTTGCTCGACGTAAGGCATGGACGGCTTGATTGCCGATATGATTCAATTGCTCCGTTCTTTTCCGTCGACCGCCGTGTACATTGGGTGTACCGCCTCCGTAACAGCTTACCCCGACTCTCTCTCTCTTTCGTTGAGCATATCCTAGTGAACCAAACATTTACCACGGTTTGCTATTGGGGTTGGCCACAATGGTTGTTCCTAAATGAGCCGTCTCCTAATGTTTGTCACACACAAACAGTACCCGTTGTTAGCCGGGCAATCAGACAAAACTTTTACACTTTGTTAAAATGCCAAACCATTGCTGGGCAATTCGCAAAAGCAGCTGTGACTATTTTGCGCACGACAGCCCATGAGGACGCTGTCCGTTGCTGATAGAAGTCTCACATCAGGCCAAAACAACTGTCGTTATAGCGATCGCATATTGTCCCTCTGAACGTCGTTTTTGTTGTCTGTGCACCTTCTCGATACTGAGCAATTCCCCCTGTTCCCCTTAATGTCCTTATGGCAAAACTGGTCCCCTAACAAGGTTCGGATAGCACAATTCCTCGTCCGCAGAATATAAAATGTGATTGAGCACTGTCGCTAGCAGCTTTGATTGCATTATTATATCCTTTGTCTTGACTTTATAATACCAGCTTACCTTGATAACACCACACAAAAGTTATTTCTAAAATAATAATAGCGTTACTCGGGCTTTTGTCAGTACTATTTTATCAGTGATATTTTTACGTTTGCGTGCATATATGTATATGACCCACCGGTCTCTAATCAATAGGTTTTTCAAAGGCATTGTCTATTATCATCACCAAACAAATTTAGATAAACTGAAAGCGCAAAAGAATAAAGATGTTTGAGCCACGCGCAAGGCTCCGATTGTAATATTTATACCTGTGATTACGGATTCCGACGGAATCCTTAAATGTCAGGGACATACACCTCTTGTTCCAGTATTGAAGTCTTCTTCTTCTTCTGGAGATAGATATTATGTCGACGGGCTAAAAGCATTCCTCTTCTTACATATACATAGTCTTACTCCCTTTGGTTTATTTCTAAACCAAGAGGTCGAGCATAATATGAGAGCATGTAGCACCAGAATGCTAACAACAACTCCTTTTTACGTATATATCGTGGTTTCGGTGTATTTAGAACACATTTACCATGTCAGAAGATCAACATTCACTAACCTTTGGAATTCTTATCATTGTACAGAAGACTTTTTTTATTTTCAGATCATTAAAAAAGCGTGCATTGCAGTACGCATCCCCTTTGTGCAGTGAGACTACCTCATCATTCCTCAAACTTCATTCCAATGCCCAATTCATTATTCAATATAAAGGACGCAGGTATACTTAATGCGAATTGTTCATATTCGCGTCTCTTTGATAGAAATAGCCAATCCTGGCAACGCCAGGCCGTCTAGGTCAACTGTATCGATGTGTTCGTATCGAAAGTAAACTGACGCTGTTCCATGTCGCAGAAGATGCCATTTTCTAACGACTCAGCAAAATAAAATATAAGCATTGCAATTTTCCCTAATGAAAGCGACTAAGGCTATGTCGCATGGTAATACATAATACAGTGCCGCCATCTGGGCAATCATCTTTAGTGTAAACCTAATTTGGACAATTATTTGCTATGGTAAAATTTCACCTGCGAGAACGGTGGTAATAGGGGTATTTGCAGAAACGAAGCCCCGTATATATTACATTTGGCAAAATAACAATTGGTCGTGGAACGTATATATGCGTACATTTTATTCGAATATGTTTACAGCGGCCAGCGTAGAGCAACGGAGCACGGCGCGTTAATCGAAAATTAACAAAAATAAGCGTTTATGAAATGACATGTATATTTGAATAAACCACTCCACGTAAAATTGTGACCGTTTGGGAAGCGGTGGGATCAATAACCAATAAAAATGAAGAAAAATGGTGTGCACTAGACGACGTGGTAGAATTTTCTGTTACAGAGCAGGAATAACATGAGCATTCGAGAAAAAAAGAGGATGAAGGACGAAATCAACCGAAAAGCCATCGTTATGTTAAAGTTATAGTAATAATATAAGGGTCAAAAGCAAGTTTTAGCCACAAAAGTAACACACAATGAAAATAACCAACCCTGCATGAATTGTGCAGTATTGACCAGGACTTGTGAATATTCATTTTTATTGTGCAATATCGATGGCGGAGGAGGCAGAAGATCCTAGGCCGAAGAAAAATATTTCCAAGAACGGGATAAGTATGACAAGGCAGCAACCACACAATTAGGAAAATCATTGTAATATAAATGACCCATAAGGATGAAGTGTAAATTCGACTGGGGTTCGGAATGTACGCGAAGGATTACATTAACCGTTACCAGCTATGTACATGCAGACATATTGCAATTTACCTGTATAAAAATTGTATTTTTCTTGTCCAATGGAATGTGCTTTTTTTGTCCGCTGACCTTTCGGAACTGATTTTATCAATCAGAAATTAAAATTTGTTGCTGTAAGTGTTCGCCATGGGCTGATTATATTTTATTCTTCACATTCCGGTGAGCAAATATGATTTTTGATCCTAAACCCCAAATTCTAACTTTTGCACTCTCCAGAAAGTACAGTTTGTTAAAAAGCCCTCATCCTATTCTGACTGAAATTATTTCAGAATATGATTTCAGTTTCACAACTTGAGTCAATGCCGCTAAGCGAAAGAGTATCATGCTTTCGCATATGTCGAAATATTGCATGATCTTTGGCGTCTACTGTAAAAGTGAAAATTACCCAGTGGTCAACCAGGATCAGTATAACTATACAGTTACAATGTGCGTCTCTGCTTTTGTTGATAGCACACATCGCAGGAGCTGGTCACGACCTCGATGTCAAAAACGCGACAATCTTCGTCCCTTGAGTAGCACGAGGGAATCAACATACGTCAGTTATATCACACTAAGGGATTGCACAATAAAGTGGCTAGCAAAAACTGGGAACCACGGGCTTTGAGTACTCAGCAGTTCACAGTATACACACTCTCAACTCCATTGTTCACCTCACCGTACTGTAGGAATTAAAACATATATGGGCTTCCCTCACAGTATAGTCCGCTCGGTTGTAAACGAACACAAAACATCAGCATAGATTGTGCATTCAGAATACAACTGTAAAATATGTATGCGTGTGCCGAATTGCGAAAAGCTACTTCTGGCATAAAAGGCCATCTGGCTCTTTAAAAATATTACCAATGCCGGAGGTATGCATTAAAAAGAGGCAACACTTACCCAATGGTTTTGTCGATAGCGTTTTTATGACGGCTTCGCCGAGTCCGCCGCCGTGGCCATTCAGCTGCATGTTTTCAGTCTCGAATGCTATGGCGTACCATGTGTCCGGAATCAAATTACGCAATGTTGTTCCATTTGTCGTTGTCTCCGACTTCACCAGCTCCTTCGTTAACAATTTCCTAGCTGTAACGTGGTATGACTTTATTTCACCATGCGGTGGTTCAGGGGGCCTCCAAGAAACCGTGATTGAATCAGTACCGATGTCATGAAATTTTATATCAGTGACCTGTTGACCGGCTGCGAAAAAGAAAGTTAGACGGTTCATAGCATCAAGTATGTCGATCGTAGCACAACGGGGGCGCTGTACAGACTATGCCGATAGCATCCGGTTCTCGCGCTCTAGCATCTTTCAACTGAATCGAGCTGCACAACCATACATGTTATTAACTTTTAGTGTAAAGCAAACGTCTAATATAGGCAATATACTGGCTTCTGAGTGGCGAAATGCTACTAAAACCTTTTACTGAAAACTTTGACAAATTATACTAGTGGTTTAAATCTTAATCTTATTACGGTTTTGAACCACAAACATCCTGTCCTAAAGATTCCGCTAGACGTGCCCTGCACCACAGCATAGCTTGCTCTTGGGACAAACCAAGTCCATTCAGCAGTCGGTAGCGCATAGAATGTCCTACTTACTCGAGTCAAATTACCTACGTAATTGCCCCATTATTAATACTAGTCGACGGCATTTATGGTGCATTCTCATTCACGCTTCTAAAGGCAACGGTGAAGTATGTATACTCCTGGAGAATTGATAAATAATGTTTGTTTGCAGAAAATGTCGATTGGTGTTATGCACAACGCTAACCAATTCCGGAGGGATGCATTTTAAGAAAATGACAACATTTACCCAGCGGTAGTGTAGTTACAATATTTGTGACTGCTTCACCGATTCCACCGTACAATTTGCTAGTAGGGTTCGGATGGTTTATCGTTCGGACTGATACGTTGTACGGTGTGAAAGGACTCAAATCAAGAAATGTTGCATTTGTCCAAAATACTTCTCTTTCATATGATATTTGTGTTTCCAGTTCAGTAACCTCAACGTAGTAGGCTTTTATTTCTCCATAGGGTTTTTCCGGGGCCTTCCATTGAACATTGATAGTGTAACTGCCAAGATCAGGAAAACTCAAATCTCGTACCCTTTGACCGGCTACAAATAAAAGAATGAAAAGTTAAGTCTGATCAAATTTGTAGCATAAAGTGCATTATACATTGCATGAATAACATGAATACGCATATCAGGAGCTGACAGCATGCTGCATTGATTCCAATAAGTGAACTTGCTTGCTGCCCCGTAGACATCATACTCTTACGTGGTATAACAATATAAAGTATATTTACATTTTCTCCTGACTAATGAACGGTTGCAAAAATGTTTACTGCATACTATGACATAATCATTAAAGCGTATACTGTCAAAGCCAAAGCGCAAGTGACTATGCGTGACAAGTATTGACGCAAACTGTGGCCAACACCTAATACGGCCGATTAGTTATTTCATTGAACAGCACGTAGAATTGAACTACGATTTGGCCACAAAACCTCCCGATAATAGGATAGGAAGTAGGACGTCCATGGCTGCTAATTTTTTTTTCGTGTGATGCCTTCAGAGCCGAACGCCGAGCTGAAGAATCACTTTCTAATATGTATGCAATACGATTCATTTTCACCGCAGAGCTTAGTATCTAGTACGCATAAATTCTTAGGAATGCCCATTCTTCAGTTACTTTCAACATACGTATCAGTATCAGTATATTGAGGGATATGTACGAAAAATTCCTTTGAGTTTCTTATTTGTACATATGTGTAGTGGTAGCAGAAAATTTGTTTCTCAAACTGTACGCGAGGCCAGTGGTCCTGTGTCATGGGATGGAAAAAAAGGAGCAGACAGTGAAAAAACTCCTCAGGGATTTTTAGGAAAAAAAATTGTCGCTCTTGTGGGGGTAATGCGTGGGATTTAGGAGATAAAGAGGGGATCCAACTGGGGGGGGACGTAGATACTAGTCTATACTTTAATGCCTTGGACCTAATGTCAGTTCACTTGTCAGGCGTCAACAAACCTCGGGTACCCTTATTCAAAACAAAGACGGCTACAAAAGGTAGAAATGGCCAATCCAGTGTCCTTTGACTTAACTGAGTCCCACATCGAGCATACATGCGCATAGATGGTATTTAGACGTTCAGCTTAATAGGTATATACACTTCTTTCTTGGGCATACAACAACTGTCATTATGACACATACGCACGCGAATCGTTTAACAGTTCAAACGAAACCGTAATGTCGTGAATTTGATTTGGCATGGTAAAGGACTATTTTTAACTTGATTGCTTATTTTATATAATACAGTCCCCCCTTATTCTGCTATACGAAGAGGTGATATTCATTTTGTTTTAGTTAATAATTTAGTCAGTATTGATTATTGAAGTCTGTTTTACTTAGTATCGTTTAGCATAATGTAGTTTTTTTAGTATATAAATCAGACGTCGGTGGTATCCAAATCAACGAAATCATAAAGCATTATACAGTTTTAAGTATCAAGTTAACAAAGCAATAAACTTACATTCAAACCAAAACAAAACAAATAAAATTAAAAGTAACGGCAGAATTAGGAGCTAGGGGTACCTGAAGTGAGTGTGGCAATTGCAAACTTTCCAGTCCCTACGACACTCATCCAATTACGTCGTTTCTTAGGCATGGTGAACTACTACCATCGCTTTCTATCC